TGTATGAAAAGTGAATTTACTCTGTAAATCTTCACCCAAATCCTAATAAAAAAAAAAAAAAAGAGTGAGGTTCTGGGATCAGGTAGCTCAGCACTCAGCCAGGCTTGAGAACCACTGCATTAGATAATTTCTCAGGTCCTGAGACTACCTCAGTTACCATTCAATGAGCTCTCCTTATGTGCCAGGGAGCTCTGGTGGTGTAGTACCTAAGGCATTTGACTGCTAACCAGAAGGCTGGTGGTTCAAACCCCCCAGCCACTCCTTGGAAGGCAGATTGCGCAATCTACTTCCATAGTGATAACTGCTTCAAAACCCAAGGACGGGTCGTGATGAGTCAGATCCAACTCAATGTCAGTGAGTTTACTATTTTTTGGTTTTCTTATGTGCCAACAGAAAGAACCTTGAGAGGGAGAGTCTATCATTGTCCACTTCACAGCTGAGGAAACGAGTTTCTGGGAGGTTTTGTAACTTGTCCATGGTTATACCTTTGGGTAGTACAAACAGTTAAGCCCTCAACTACTAACTAAAAGGTTGGTGGTTTGAACTGTCCTAGAGCAAAAATGGCAGTCTGGTTGAAAGTAAAGAACTTTTATTGAGGAGTAAGGCAATTTGCAAATTGGGAATCACAACGCCCAGAAAATTCTGAACTAAGTGATCCAAGAAGGAGACAGCTCAGAGAGTTTATATGTAAGAAAAATACAAGGAAATTCATTAAAAACTCAGTAACTGGTTGACATTCAGGTAATAGTTACAAAATTGGGTGATGGCACATCTGATTGGTAGATTACATGTTTCTAAAGTTTTTTAAAATTAATCATTAAATGGGGTACATCTGGCCTCTAATCAATCACAAGACCCTCCTTGTGTAACTGCAGATCGCACATGCATAATTCTAAAGTTTGTTCTGAGAATTCTTTTGGACCTTGGTTTCTAGGTAGTGAACAATACCTGTAAGCAAACAAAATTTTCTGAAATTGTTTGTCAAATAATTGTCTCAGGGTACAAGGGGGAGTTACAGGAATGACAGGCTGAATTCCTGACGCAGAGGTTACTTTTGATTCAAAATGGAGTTTTAGCCTTAGGCTTTAGCATAGCTACCATGCCATGTCAAGGGTCCTAAATTAATCTGGGGTGCTCTTACTCAGAAGCTACCCAGAGGTGCCACAGAAAACTGTTTTCAAAAAATCACAGCCTTCAAAACCTTATGGAGTATAGTTCTGCTTTGATACACATGGAGTCAAGTCACCATGAGTCAGAAGCAACTCAGTGGCAACTGGTTTGGTTTTTTTGGTTTTACACGGCAAGTAAGAGCCAAGTGGAAAGTACACCCAGGTCAGCAGGCCCTGGTCTCTGCTACAATCTTACCTGATGTTTCCTTGGCCTTTTGGTGGTGGTTGACAGCACCGAGGGGACAGGAAGTCCCTAGGGTGGGAACTAGAACCCACAAATTCTAAGTTGGAGGAAAACCAGTTCCTCCTTTAGGGGAAGGGAAAACTGAGGCTCAGGGAGGGAGAGATCTGCCTGATGTTGTATATCAGGTCACCAGACAGTAGACTGACTGCCAGGGGGAGTGTGCAGCTGAGAGCTCCTAGCACAGGAAATCAGAGTCTGGTTTTCTTGCCCCTTTTCCCTTACCCTGGATGTTACAATGGTCTCTTGGCTGACTTCCCTGCCTGCCCCCATTCTTTACAAAGCAGATTGAACCAGCTCATCCCCTATTCCCAATCCTTCAATGCCTTCCCATCACCCACGCATACAGAAGCCAAATGACTCATTTCACTGCCACAGGGCTCCATGCAACTTCCAACTCTATCACTTTTTCTCTGAACTCTATGGGCTAACTGCTTGGATGGCACTGTTTCGACTTGGCTCATGCCATTTCTTCTTCCTGCATTACTCTTCCTTCTCTCCTCTTGGCAAGCTCCTGCACATCTGTCAACACTCAACTCCAGGGTCACCCCTTCTGCAACTAATGGATCATGGCATCCTTTCCCCAAGATCCACGGGTACCTGGTATTCTTAAGACATCACAAATCCAGGTTGCCAGGACTAACTGATCACATTAATTCAATGACACTATATTGTCCAACCTGCCTCTTACCAGGCTATTACCTCTTCTCTGGGCCCACAAAGGCCCAGCCTTGTACTTGGGACACCAAGTACAAGACCAATGGTGTCTCAATGTTTACTTCCCTACAACTTACCCTACTAGTTGGGGAACGTTTTTTCTGACACTTAAACTAACCATAACACATAGAACCATTCAATGAAGGTTCATTGGTGTTTTTTTTTTTTTTTTTTTTTTAAAGTGATATAATTGTGAGAGTGCTAATCACACGTCTCTGGGCCTCTGGTCTCCCCATTAGGTCTTGCCTGTCTATCCACAGCAGCACGTACCCAGCCCATGGATTGATAAGAGTGTCCCTAGAAGAGTAGTGGGATGGGTCTGAGGCAAGCAGACAAGCCTCAGGTGGCCTACCTGTGGCATTGTGCCCTGCAGGCTAGGTGAAGCTCCTGGCCCAGAAGCCCAGGTGCAAAAAATATGGTCAAACTGACAAGTGAGGGTCCCAATCAATGTTGGCAGACCTGGGGTTCCAGGTGGGAAGAGCAGGACTTGTTATCCATAGAATGGGCTCATTTTACCTTTTCTAAAAGTAGTGATACCCCAGGTTGAAAAACAGACCAAACCAAATTTTATTTATTTATTTTTACCAAGAAGTAAAAAAATCTAAGCATATGGGCTTCTGCCAACTGCCTCAGCCTGGGGCCTGCCCCCTCAACCCACCCTCACCCACCAGTCCCCACCTTTGTGGTCAAGCAGCCCCCAGTCTAAAGCATCTCCAGCCTTGCTCTGCAGAGTGCTGAGCATTCTGGGAGTGTCCAGGAGTAGGGAGCACTGCCTCAGCCTGCACTGCAGCCAGCAAGCCTACACACTACTCACTTCATGTAGGTAATGTCACTTGCAAAAAGGGACTCTTGGTTAAACTGTGCTTGGTTAAAAGTAGCAAATGAGGGGGTACCCCACACTACAGGCTTCATTGCTAGCTGAGATAGGGGCAAGCTAGACCATTAGTACATGCCCAGCTGAGCCCCCTCCAAATTGTCTTGCCAAAGCTCAGGGCAGCCACTGAGCTGCAGGCCTGAGCTCTGGGGAGGACTTGCTTCACTGAGCTGGACGGTGGGGCCGGGTGCCTGGTCCTCAAAGCTAGGGAGCACCTCTACACTGTGGCTCCAACACCCCCATTGGGTCTGAGACTGGAGCCTCTGGCACGGTGGGTGGGGTAAGAGAGGTGGGGTTCCCAGTGGCAGACAGGACTCTGGAGACACAGAGATACCCTGCAAGAGAGACAAGAGCAGCTGGTTAGTGGGTTACTGTCCCATGCTCTTGAGCCAGGATGTGCCCTAGGTGTAGCTGGTAGTTTCTGGACAACCTTGGTACCATGGATCCAGTGAAGCAAAGTGGTTCAGAGCACAAGCTCTGGCACCATATTGCCAGCTCTGCTACTCACTAGCTGTGAGGCCTCTGGTAACATTTTCAGTCTCAGTATGCACGGTCAATATCCCTCTGTCAGTAGAGGATGAACAGGTTTCAGAGCAGCTTCCAAACTAATATGGACTGGGAAGAAAGGCCTGGAGATCTACTTCTGAATATCAGCCAGTGAAAACCCTATACATCACAATGTTTCAATCAGCAATCATCATTGGGATGGCAAAAGGTTGGGCAGTGTTTTGTTCTACTGCATGGGACTGCCATGAGTCAAGGGGTGACCCAACGGTAACTAACAACAACTGCTCATCTGTTTAAAAGGATTAATGGTAACATCTATTTCATAGGGTTTTGGGGAGAGCGGAAAAGTGCAAGAATGGTATCTAGCACATAATAACTGTTCAATGAATGTTGGGTATTAATCAGATCTTTATGGAGATATGGACTTCATGAATGAAGGAACACGAAGGTCACCAATTCCAAGCCTATCTGATACTCAGGAAGTGCTGTCCCATTCTCCCCCAACCCTTAATAGAGTACTTGGAGCCAATTTCCTGACAGTGGCCCCTGCTGCCTTCTACCCAGGTCTCTGTAGCAAGTGGAAGCCTCTCTCCTCTTCCAGCTGTGAAGACTGCTGGATGGTGGTGGTGATGGCTTAAACTTAACTCCCAGGGTGCCACCTCTTCCCCAAACAGGTTAGGGGCCCTTCCATCCTCCCTTCTGCTTCCCTCCACCAGCAGAGTTAGATCGGATAACCGGGATCTAAGAAGTATGTGAGACTATCTGAAGAACAGAGACCACTCCCCCTCCATTTCCAGCTGACGCTGGGGACTGCCCCGAGGACAGGAGTGAGGGCGTCTGGCCTACCTGGTACATAGCAGCCATCTCTGGAGGTGCGAGAGGCAGCGTGCAGGGAACGGCCGGGTTCCTGGGCTGCAGGGATGTCTGAGTCCCAGGACAGGTTTGCAGCGACATCCAAAGAGACGCCTCAGGGTCTCCCCCTCGGGACTGATGCGGGGATGACTGCATCCCGGGGTTGTAAGGGGGTGTCACCCAGGGATTCGTGTCAGGGACCTGGCTCTCTAGGCGCTCGGGCACTGCCAAGGCTCCAGGGCAGGCAGGCAGGGACCCCCAGGACTCGGTGGCTTCGGCGCCGGCGCCGGCGCCCGCAGACGAGCCCTGGCCCTGCGTCTGCGCCTGCGCGGGGCCGCTGTCGAAGCAGAGCGGACAGCCTCGAGAGGGTGCCGCGTCGCTGAGCCGCCGGCGCCGGCGCTGCAAGCTCTCCTCACTGAGGCCCAGCACGGCCGACAGGTGGCCGATGTAGCGGATGGCTAGGCGGAGCGTCTCGATCTTTGTCAGGCTCTGGCCGGCGGGCGCCACAGATGGTGGCAGAAAGCGGCGCAGCTCTTGCAGCGCGCGAGCGAGTGTGCGCATGCGCAACTTCTCGCGCTCGCTGGCGCTCTGCCGCTGCCCGCCCGCCGACCCCGGGCCAGCACGTCGGGACGTCGTCTGGGTGGCCTCCGTGGCGCAGGCGCTATGGTCCGGGGCTGCTGGCTGTGAGGGTCCGCCGGTGCTGTCGCAAGGACACGAACCAGACGAGTCCGAGGATGAGGTCGGGGACGTGGAATCCGAGTGGTCGGCCCAGCCCCAACTTTGAGGGAAGATCCAGTGGTCGTGGCTGAGGAAGCTCTGCGAAGGCGGCGACTGGGCCATGGCCAGGCTGCAGGCTCTGGGAGGCTGGACAGGCCACCGCCAAGCCTGAGCTTTTATCCGGACTAAAGGTGCGAGGTGGCCCCCCACCAGGTTACAGAGAGGTGTCAAAACCCACAGAGTCCAGGGAAGGTCTGGGCAGGGGGCCCCTGGGAAAGCGAGCCCATTTGCGGAGGTGTGGATTCTGACTCCTCCGGGCCTCTAATGGAGGCCCCTGCAGCCCGGCAAGTGCAGGAGGGACAGTTCGCATCTGGATGGAGCTGCTAAGCTTCTCACCCATGACCCCACCCAGTCCACTGAATGAGTGCCCCCGGAGCCCGACCACTGCTGGCAGTGCCATGTGGGGGGCAGCCAGGTTGCCCCTCAATGACTTCTCGACCCTCGTGAGGAGTGGCCGCCTCTCTCATCACCAGCCCCCCGTGTGCTGTTACCAGTAACTTCCACCCAATGCCTAGGAGTGTGCTGGCTTAGGTACCTGGCTACGGTGACCACAGCAGAACCTTACAGGTGGGCCATTCCTTCCAGTTCCCTGAACCGCTGTCTGCTGATTTACTGAATGACAGTGAAAAAGTAATTTTGCTGCTTACAACGTTGGTTTCTACCTCTGTAAAATGAAGCTCCATCCAGATGCTGGGCTTGTCAGCAGGCTGAGGAGAAACAGTGTAAAACGGGGGAAGATGAGCTTTGGAGCCAAGAAGGCCTAGGTCAGACCCTCTTTACTGGCCCTGTAACCTTGGGCAAATTATTTGACTTCTGTGAGACTCAGGTTTTCTTACCTTCATAGCAATAATAATAGTGAAAAAAAAAAAATACCACCTAGGATTTTTGCTACTACAAAGTTGAATCATGCCTATAAAACACTTAGTATGGGCTTGGCAAGTGGCCTAAATATTTGCTACTGTGTAAAGAAGATACTTCTGTTTCAGCATGCTTCTGGGCATTAGACATTCAATTCATATTTATTGGTTGTTCTTAGCTGTGTGGCCAAGTGTCACCAAGAATCAGAGCCTGGGACCTGCCCTCCTAACCCATCCTCACCAACCAGTCCCAGGCCAGATTCCTTTATGGTCAAACAGCCCCCAGTCTAGAGCACCTCTGGCTGTGCCCTGCAGAGTGCAGGGTATTCTGGGGGTGCCCAGGAGTAGGGGGCACTGCCTCCGTCTGCATTGCAGCCAGGGAGCCTACACACTACCTGCTTCATACACTGCTTCCACATTAGATGCCGTTTGGAAAAAGGGATCCTTGGCTAAAGGGAAGTTTGAAAACCACTGAAGTAGCAAATGAAAGGGTACACCACACTACAAGCCTCATTCCTAGCTCAAGCAGGCAGGCTAGACCATTAGTATATGCCTCTAGATTGTCTTGCCAAAGTTCAGGGCAACCTCTGGGCTGTAGGCCTGAGCTCTGGGGAGGACTGTGCCATCTGCATGATTGGATTGAAACTCTTGTGATTCATGTGGTTTTCATTGGGTGATTTTCAGAGTAGATTGCAAGGCTTTTCTTCCTAGTCTTAGTCTGGAAGCTCCACTGAAACCTGTTAAGCATCATAGCAACACTTAAGCCTTCCAGCCATGAGGTACCTTGGCTGGGTATTAAACCCAGGTCACCCACATGGAGGGCAAGAATTTTGCCACCTCATATTTAACATAGAGCTTCGAACTGGTTCCTTGTAATTTGACCCCCTGCTGAGAAGTTTGCCTTTCCAGCCCAGATATACTGAATCAGGTTTATTTTAACAAGATCCCCAGGTGATTCTTAAGTATACATAAGAATGGGGTATGTCAGAATCACCTGCGGATCTTATTAAACTGTGGATTCTTTTGTTTTGTTTTGTTTTGTTTTTTCTATTTTTTGTTATTGTTGAGAATATACACCAAACGTACAATTCAGTGATACTGATTACATGGGTTGTCCCAACATTCTTGCCTCTTTTTGAGTTTGTCCTCCCCTGGGAACATAAATTCACTGCCCCCTAAGTTTCCCATCTAATCTAAGGTTCCTGCCCAAGCCTGCATATCCAGTCTAGTTGCTGTCGTCACTCTGATCCCATACAGTTCTTAAAAGACCACCATGCTCAAGGTGGACATTTTTTTTACTAAACTCTTGTTTGGTTTTAAGACTTCAGGGAGTATTTTTGGTTTATGGTTTAAAGATTACCTCAGGGCAATAGTTTCAGGGGTTCATCCAGCCCCCAAGACTCCAGGAAGTCTGGAGTCCTTGAGAATTTAAAATTCTGTTCTGCATTTTCCCCCTTTTAATCAAGATTCTTCTCTAGAATCTTTGATCATAAATCTCATGTTTTGATAACCAATTTTTTTTGTGTGTGTGATTTGGGTGAAAATTTACAGAGCAAATTCACTTTCCATACAGCAGTTCACATACACTTTGTCTCATGACATTGACTACGATTCACCACAATGCAACAGCTCCCCTCCCACTTCCTCCCTCTAGTCACCTCTTCCCTGTGTCCATCCCTCCATGCACCCCTGCCCCCTGAGCTGTCTCCCTGTGCATAAACAGCCCTTCTTTCTCCCATGATTGTTCTCTCCAAGGGATGTATTTACCTCAGTAAACCATGGATTCTAATTCAGTTTATCTGGGGTAGCAGACAAATTCTCAGCAGGGAATCAAACCAGAATGAATTGGTTCAAAGCCTTGATTTAACAACTGCTTAATGTCAGGCACACCACAGTGAATGAGCTAGGGTCTCCGCTGTCTCCCTGTCACGTCTTGGGGGAGAGACAAGTAACCAGGCTATCCTGTAACTAATAGCTCTGCTACTAAGTAGCTGTGTGTGCCCTTGGACAGGGCCCTTAACCTGGACCCAAGCTTGGAAAAAGGGATCCTTGGCTAAAGGGAAGTTTGAAAACCACTGAAGTAGCATATGAAGGGGTATCCCACACTAAAGCCTCATTCCTAGCTGAGATGGGCAGGGTAGACCATTAGTATATGCCTCTAGATTGGTTTGCCAAAGTTCAGGGCAGCCACTGGGCTGTAGGCCTGAACTCTGGGGAGGCCTGTGCCATCTGCATGATTAGATTGTTACTTGTCTCTCCCCCAGGATGTGACAGCAGAGACCCTAGCTTATTCACCCAGGTGTGCCCGATGTTAAGCAGTTGCTAAATCCGAGCTTCAAACCAATTCATTCTGGTTTGACTCCCTGCTGAGAATAATTGGACAATTAGTCCAATTAAAAATGGGCAGAAGACATGAATAAACACTTCACCACGGAGGATATTCAGGTGGCCAACAGACATATGAAGAAACGCTCATAATCATTAGCCATTGTTGTTGTTGTTGTTATGTGCCGTCGAGTCGGCCCCGACTCATAGCGACCCCTCCTTGGGTTTCCGAGGCAGTATCACTACGGAAGTAGGATTGCCCAACCTTCCTTCCGAGGAGTGGTGGGGAGCTCTGGTAGCATAGTGGCTAAGACACTTGCCTGCTAACCAGACGGCTGGCATTAGCCATTAGAGAGATGCAAATCAAAATAACAGTGAGATACCATCTTGTCCCAGCACTGGCAGCAAAGATCAACAAGACAGAAAATAACAAATGCTGGCGAAGATGCGGAGAGATTGGGACTCTTAACACACTGCTAGCTGGACTGTAAAATGGTACAACCACTGTAGAAAGCAGTATGGCAATTCCTTAAAAAGTTGGAAATGGAAATTCCATTTGATCCAGCCATTCCATTACTAGGTATATATCCTAAAGAAGTGAGAGCCATGACAAGAACAGACATATGCACACCCATGTTCATTGCAGCACTATTTACAGTAGCCAAAAGATGAAAACAACCTAGGTGTACATCAACTGAGGAATGGATAACCAAACCATGGTACATACACACAATGGAATACTATGCAACACTAAAGAATAATGTAGAATCTGCAAAACACCGCGTAATAGAGATGAACTTGGAGGACATTATGCTGAGTGAAATAAGTCAATCACAGAAGGACAAACACTGTATTAGTCTGTTATTGTAAAAGTCAAGGAATGGTTTATATATGGAAGGAAATTTTCTTTGTTGGTTACCATGGGAAAGAGGGGAGGGGAGGAAACACTGTTAGGTAGAGATAAGTATTGATTTGGGTGAAGAGAAGGGCAGTGTACCAAATGTGAGTGATGAACACGGTGACATTGAGGAAGAGGAAGACAGAGAGAGGTACATGGGAGGTGCAGACAACAAAGTTGAACCCTTTTGCACATACAGTACTGCGTTGTCAGTGAAGGCAAACGTGAGTGTACAGGTGGATAGATAGGTGGACAGACTGAACTGAACTATTAGGTATGTCTATGCATTAGTGAGTGTGCCCAAGACCATGTATAGGGTTGGCAGAGAATGGTTCTACATGTGTATTTGTATGTTCTGTAAGAATTCCTAGGGCTGTAGTAGAGCTGACAAGGTACAAGGTTGTAGTCACTTCTTGGTCACAGCCAGCTACCCAGAGGCACCGAGTAGTTGAATCTGTGGGCTTGGGACCATGGTTGCAGGAGACATCAAGCTCAATTGGCATGACATACTACACAAAACATTATTCCACCTCCTACTCAGGCGAGTAGCAACTGGGATCTTAAAAGCTTGCAAGCAGCCATCTAGATGCAACGGTGGGTCTCTCCTCGTCCAGAGCAAAGAAGAATGAAGGAAACCAAAGATTCATGGAAACAATTAGTCCTCGTGACTGGTACACCATGTGATCCTCAGCCTATATGACTATGAGATCAGAAGAACTAGATAGTGCCCACCTACCACTGTCAACCACTCAGAGGGGAATCTATGGAGGAGATCCTGGATAGAGAGGGAGAACAAAACTCAGTCATTTGGGGGGGGGGAAGGGGGAGGGGGGACCAGGGACCAGGTTTGCTGGTCTGATAGAGCCTGGTGGAACCACTGAGACTATGGTCCCTAGCTGCCCTTCAGGTCTGGAATTGAACCACACTTGTGACTTCCAGCCAAAGAAAAGACAGACATGTGAATTGAACATTTACCTGAGGTA